TAGCTTTTTATTATTCATGCAATGAATTGAATTCTCCAAAAGCCTTAGAAATTTGGACCAATTTAGAGACCAAAGCGATTATGGATGACAATTATCCGGGTCTTCAATGCTTTGCTAACTTATTAACTAATATAACAGACGAACAAATTTTCTTTAAAAATTTGGATTTTTTACTGGAAAGGGATGAGAAGCTGAGCGCAAATGTTCTGATTGACAGAAATCATACAAATATAGAGTCTTTTGCCGATAATATTGTCCGACATTTGCATAGATATACTGAAGCGGAAGAGATATATTTAGAGCATCTGGTATTTAAAGTCAATATTCAGGTAATGTTTTATAATTTATTACTTTTGATTTAAAAATTTAAAAGTTATAAACCTTCAATTTATTGTCACATTAAAGCTTTACTTATTAAGTTAGTTAGTGTGACATTTTGGGTACGTTTATATTAAAGTAAACCATATAAATATGTATTTAGGTATAGCAATATTTAATCCACATTTTAAGCCAATTTATAATAATAAGTTTTTATTTTAAAATAATAACATGTAATAAATTGGAAAGACTCGATCAGAATAGTTATTTGATTAGAATATTTGTACCCTAAAATTCAGCATGTACCTGCACAGCAATTAAAACTGAAAAAACGTTCCAGGTACAGTACTTGCACCTAGGGTAATCAGAAATTATTTGACAAAGGACAAATTGAAATATGTTTTGTCTAACAACATATATAATTTTTACAAATATTATTTAATTATTGCGTACAATTATTTTATACTAAAATAATAACTTACTTCAAATATGCATTAAAATATTAATGCAAAAACCACTTTAACTAAAGAATTTATACGATTGCTCCCTTTTGTTAAGATTCAGATATAATTGCACCTGGCTATTATAATATATGCAGTTTTCAACCATATGCAGGTTACGGTAATTGCAAATGAAATTTTCTTAATTTTGCACTAAATGATTAGTAGAGCCACAACTTTTGGGCCCCCTATTCATTACAATAACCAAATGAGAATAGGCGTTAAGCAGGATGACCAGCTTAAATTGTTTCAAATAAAGATACCTGGTCAAAATACATACCTAATCACCGAAAGAAATGACACATTTGTTTATCAGACAAATAATAACTTTAATAAACGATATATTCTTCTCGACTAATAATTGCTATTTAGTAAACATTTGAAACTGAAATCAAAAACGACAATAATTGTTGCGCGCAATTTATTAAGAATATGGAAACTTATGAGAATGTTTGATTAATATATTACATGTCTGTTTATATTTTGGCACATTTAATAAAAATTGTGAAATTGTCTAGTTTAGGACAACAAATTAACTTTAATTCTATATTACCCTTCATATAAGCCAGAGGCTATATTACATAACTAGTCTATTTTCTACTCTATTTTTGTAACAGTTTTAATTTGATAAAAAGCTTATTTTCTCTTCTTTACAGTCAAAGTAATGTTAAGTAAATTAATATTTAATCAATTTGTGGTCTATTTAAAAGGCATTATCTTCTCTTTCAATTTAACCATTCATTATATTTTCATCTTTTGGTGAAAGTATGCAATATTGCGAAGGAATGAAAAATATGCCAATAATTGTTATACAGTAATACAGTATTGTAATCATTGATTGAGCCGTTAAGTTGAGATGCATTAATGTTTTGTAATGATTTCCTCATTGAAAGACTAGACCGGACGTGGATTATAGGAATCGTAAGTATGAGAGTATGAGTTAACATATTTCTGACCCACAAATCTATTTTGCGAGCGTTTGCGTGATTTTCTTAAATACATGTTTTGATTGAATTCCACTTTTATTATATGAAAGCGAGTCTTCCTTTATAAGTATGAGAGTATGAGTTAACAGATTTCTGACCCACAAATCTATTTTGCGAGCGTTTGCGTGATTTTCTTAAATACATGTTTTGATTGAATTCCACTTTTATTATATGAAAGCGAGTCTTCCTTTGAAATGTATTAATTTATTAAAATCTAATCTGTGGTCAGAATGAAAAATTTCACACATATTTGGCGCTTAAATATATCAATCAATTGATTGAACTCATGAAACGCCTGGACATCGAGGCTGAAGAAGTGATTAAATTAAGGCTTAAATTACGGAATTTGTTGCGCGAATCAACTCTTTATAAAACGAAATTAGTTTTAGAGAAAGTAATTGAAGCGAAATTGTCGTACGAAAGCGCTTTACTTTATGGCAGATTAGGTGATCACGAAAGGGCTCTCACTATATTTGTTCGCCAATTGAATGATTACAAACTCGCGCAACAGTATTGTATTGAATTGTATTCGGCCGACAATGAACTCAAACAACGCTATCAACTTTTTCACACACTTCTCGGCATTTATCTCGACATTAATCAAAGGTTTTGATAAATTAAATTCAATTTTCATAAGTTTTTAAAATTTATAATTTTGATGAATAGAAATGGCACCGAATTAGTGAGTCCTGCGCTTCAATTACTTAATAGCGGTGACACTGAATTCAATACAATCAAAGTATTGCAATTGATTCCTCACAAGTGGACCCTTTCTACGATCCGACAGTTCCTAAACAAAGCCATTCTTCAGTCAATGCATGGTTTGCGGCAATCGTTAGTCACAAAAGGTTTGGCCACAACTGAGAACAGAATTGTTAAACACGAAAGAATCGTCAATGAAAGACACAATCTAGTGATCAATGAACACACGTTTGTATATTTACACACAATTATTAAAATATTAATTAAATATTCAAATCTAATGTGTTTAGTGTTTGTTCGCTCTGTAAGACAGCTCTAAACGAACCCCAATTTATATGGTATCCACGCTTTCAACTCCTATTGCATCCACACTGTAGTCAAAGTCTAACCACCGATTCTACTGCTAAATGCTGTACTAAATGATGTATTAAATGATGATAGTGTGTAACATTTATTCAAGTATTTGTTAGTTGTTTTGAATAAAATATTTAATAAATTGTTTATAAGTTATAATTTATAAATGACTTTTTATTTTAATAAATTAATATTTTATTAGTTGTGTAACTTATTTGTTTTCTTATAAATATAATATTAAATAACATTTCATTTTGGTATAAATTTTGAAAGTAAGGTATTTAAATTGTTTTGATTTATATATTATCTAACTTTATATGATTGGAGTATTAGTTGAGGCCAAGTATTGCATATTAAGTAATTTACAATTAAATAACATTCACTGTTCATAACATTACAATTTAAAACAAAAATGTCTTTAGGCATAGAATTTTGAATAATATTTTCAATTAAAGTGCGGTTTAGTTACCAATACTTAATAAATGGTTTCATTACTAATGAATTTGCAAATAAATTTCTTTTCATTTCATTTTTAAGAAATATTTTCTAAAAGTACAGTAACTTTAAGTATAAGAATAGTAAAACATGTGAATGACTATTGAAACCTAAAAATGTACTGCAAATGTAGTATCAATACTCGTATCACAGAATCCTGTGATTTATGTATTTATCGCTAAATACAGTACATTTAGCACTTTGAACATAATTCACAATTTAATCAAGTGAACATGCTCAATTCGTGCTCATTCCCTATTTGCCTACAATAAGTCAATTGTCTCATACAATGTCACAAATCTTATTGAATATGAAAATCTGGTTTTAATACCAAATGAAAAATGATAGGAATTATTACAACAGTAATCATAGGCACAGATATGTGAGCCTCGAGGGGGCGCCCACTTCGGCACCAGCACTGAGACAATGGTTGTGCGCACGCGTTGTGTCGTGTATTGCCTATGAGTTGATTGTTGTGAGAGAGAGAGTGAGAGATGTGTTAAGTATTGGAGAAAAACTGGTTTAGAGTTAAGTGAAGACATGTTTTGTTGTATTCATTAATACTTTGCGTTAACTTTGATTTCATTCAATCATTCAATCCATTGAGAGATTAGTGTATTTTGTACTCAATTTGAAGGCATTGTTGGCCAACGAAGTGATCGTTGAATCGTTGGATACAATCTAATCAGTGGTTCTCGAGGTCTGTATGTCTGGGAAGGGGTTGTCTGGTGTGGAGGACGGGTCGGCGCCATCGCCGCGATTGTGTCATCTGATAAAATGGCCGGACTTTGACGGCTATGGATTCAATCTGCACGCAGAGAAGGCGAAGACCGGCCAATACATCGGCAAAGTGGACGCCGACTCTCCGGCACAGTTGGCCGGCCTTCGAGAGGGCGACCGTATTATTGAAGTGAATTTGGTTAACATTTCCAACGAAAATCATCGACAAGTCGTCGAAAGGATTAAATCGATTCCCAACGAAACCAAACTATTAGTGATCGACGAGACGGCCGACAAGTGGTACAAAGAGAATAAGGTAATCGTCAAAAGCACTCAATCCAATGTCGTCCACTACAAGACACCGGTTCCGCGTCCTCTCAACGACAACAACAACGCCGTCGACGACAACAACGATCGCAACGACACTCAACCCAATCATCTCAACCCAGCGGCCGATGTGTCCGCTGTTGAGGTCGTCGATGTGGCCAATGGTCTGCAAAACGGCGATAACGACAGTCACAGCACTGTTGAGTCGATTCCCATGAAAGCCGACATCGAAGTGATCGATATTAAGACGAATGGATCCGTTAATGCGGTTAATGGCAACGATAGGAAGGATTCACTTGTATTGGTTAGTGTTTACATTGATTTCTACGGTCTATAGCTTTACAAATACTTTCAAATGATTTGCAATTTATTGAGAAAATCCTAATTATGTAATGATTTGTTGATAACTGAATAATAATGACAATGAATAGCCATTAATAGTGAATTCATTAATACTTTAATACTATATGTAATGAATAATGTATTGGTTGAGGAATAGCTGTGAAAAAGCATAAAATCAAATGAAAACCCTTTCTTACAAAACAGTTAAATACCAGTAAATAAGAGACAGAAGAAGAGATTTACTGTAAATATTTTCCTCTAAAAAATCCCATCAAATAGTGTTGTCCTTCACTTGTATTCATTAAATTGCATTCAATTCACGACATATTCACACGAATTTGAATTTCTATTTATTATTTGCATTAATTTCTAACCAAAAAGTTAATACATTTTGATTTCCTTATTCTTTAAATTAAGATAAGTTATAAGAAAAACAATTAATTGTTTTTAGTCTTTGCACTAAAACCAAACATTTTAAGTCTTTTCCATCAAATGATTACTGATTTTAAACAAAACAAAATTGAATAAAATTAATGTTTTCAAAGCTAATCAAAAATAACTCTTCGCTCGCATTATCTTTAATTAATTTTTAAAACAAAATAATGAGTTAATTATTGAATATTTAGTTGATTTTAAAGTTTAAAGGGATAGTAAACGGTGTTATGATTGTTAGTATTGTTGATTGAATGCGTGAATTACTTTCATTTGTTGAATATATTCATAAGTGTTTTTGTGGGAGGAATTCATAAACGCTATTATTTTCAATGGTTTTGTTCAGATCTCTAGCTGTGATGACATACATATAGTGCCCACAAATCAGTTATTAAATAAGAAAGTGATTAATAGATTATAAGGCTTTACGGCTTTACATTACAATCACTAAAATATTCACCCAATAATATTACAATAGTTTATAAACATTTTGATGCATTGTATGCAATGGTTAGACATTTATAGTTGTATTTATTACGAGATGACGAATACATAGCCAACCCTTTGCCCAAATTCTGCAGTCATTTTGGTTTAAAAAACTTAAGAAAATAAATTTTCTAATAATTTACTGTATTTAGAAAAGATGTCATATATTATGACCCATTTTTTGTATACCAAAAGCGATAACAAAGTGTGTGAGTGAGGAACCGGTGTCACACCCCCTCCCCCTTTGCCACTAATTCATTCAATTAAAGGCATTTGATGCGATTTGATTTGATTAGGCATTGGAAATGTTGGCAAAATGTATTATTTATACACATGTAATGCATTCAAAGCCATACAATTGTAATGCTTTTTAGTGACATATCTTCAATTGTTTGCAATATTTATCAATCACTTGAATATTGATATTAACTGTAAAAGTGATGCCATTCCTCACATACACCACAATCACATATTGGATGACAATTTGATGTCAATGTCGCGTATTATAGGCTTTATGTTTGGACAGTCATACAGTCATTTGTTTCATATTTGCAAACAAATCAAATATTAATCATGTATTCAATCAAATGGGAGTGAAAGTCAGTTTTTACATGAATTTCATGCCAGACATTATAGCANTCACAGAATCCTGTGATTTATGTATTTATCGCTAAATACAGTACATTTAGCACTTTGAACATAATTCACAATTTAATCAAGTGAACATGCTCAATTCGTGCTCATTCCCTATTTGCCTACAATAAGTCAATTGTCTCATACAATGTCACAAATCTTATTGAATATGAAAATCTGGTTTTAATACCAAATGAAAAATGATAGGAATTATTACAACAGTAATCATAGGCACAGATATGTGAGCCTCGAGGGGGCGCCCACTTCGGCACCAGCACTGAGACAATGGTTGTGCGCACGCGTTGTGTCGTGTATTGCCTATGAGTTGATTGTTGTGAGAGAGAGAGTGAGAGATGTGTTAAGTATTGGAGAAAAACTGGTTTAGAGTTAAGTGAAGACATGTTTTGTTGTATTCATTAATACTTTGCGTTAACTTTGATTTCATTCAATCATTCAATCCATTGAGAGATTAGTGTATTTTGTACTCAATTTGAAGGCATTGTTGGCCAACGAAGTGATCGTTGAATCGTTGGATACAATCTAATCAGTGGTTCTCGAGGTCTGTATGTCTGGGAAGGGGTTGTCTGGTGTGGAGGACGGGTCGGCGCCATCGCCGCGATTGTGTCATCTGATAAAATGGCCGGACTTTGACGGCTATGGATTCAATCTGCACGCAGAGAAGGCGAAGACCGGCCAATACATCGGCAAAGTGGACGCCGACTCTCCGGCACAGTTGGCCGGCCTTCGAGAGGGCGACCGTATTATTGAAGTGAATTTGGTTAACATTTCCAACGAAAATCATCGACAAGTCGTCGAAAGGATTAAATCGATTCCCAACGAAACCAAACTATTAGTGATCGACGAGACGGCCGACAAGTGGTACAAAGAGAATAAGGTAATCGTCAAAAGCACTCAATCCAATGTCGTCCACTACAAGACACCGGTTCCGCGTCCTCTCAACGACAACAACAACGCCGTCGACGACAACAACGATCGCAACGACACTCAACCCAATCATCTCAACCCAGCGGCCGATGTGTCCGCTGTTGAGGTCGTCGATGTGGCCAATGGTCTGCAAAACGGCGATAACGACAGTCACAGCACTGTTGAGTCGATTCCCATGAAAGCCGACATCGAAGTGATCGATATTAAGACGAATGGATCCGTTAATGCGGTTAATGGCAACGATAGGAAGGATTCACTTGTATTGGTTAGTGTTTACATTGATTTCTACGGTCTATAGCTTTACAAATACTTTCAAATGATTTGCAATTTATTGAGAAAATCCTAATTATGTAATGATTTGTTGATAACTGAATAATAATGACAATGAATAGCCATTAATAGTGAATTCATTAATACTTTAATACTATATGTAATGAATAATGTATTGGTTGAGGAATAGCTGTGAAAAAGCATAAAATCAAATGAAAACCCTTTCTTACAAAACAGTTAAATACCAGTAAATAAGAGACAGAAGAAGAGATTTACTGTAAATATTTTCCTCTAAAAAATCCCATCAAATAGTGTTGTCCTTCACTTGTATTCATTAAATTGCATTCAATTCACGACATATTCACACGAATTTGAATTTCTATTTATTATTTGCATTAATTTCTAACCAAAAAGTTAATACATTTTGATTTCCTTATTCTTTAAATTAAGATAAGTTATAAGAAAAACAATTAATTGTTTTTAGTCTTTGCACTAAAACCAAACATTTTAAGTCTTTTCCATCAAATGATTACTGATTTTAAACAAAACAAAATTGAATAAAATTAATGTTTTCAAAGCTAATCAAAAATAACTCTTCGCTCGCATTATCTTTAATTAATTTTTAAAACAAAATAATGAGTTAATTATTGAATATTTAGTTGATTTTAAAGTTTAAAGGGATAGTAAACGGTGTTATGATTGTTAGTATTGTTGATTGAATGCGTGAATTACTTTCATTTGTTGAATATATTCATAAGTGTTTTTGTGGGAGGAATTCATAAACGCTATTATTTTCAATGGTTTTGTTCAGATCTCTAGCTGTGATGACATACATATAGTGCCCACAAATCAGTTATTAAATAAGAAAGTGATTAATAGATTATAAGGCTTTACGGCTTTACATTACAATCACTAAAATATTCACCCAATAATATTACAATAGTTTATAAACATTTTGATGCATTGTATGCAATGGATAGACATTTATAGTTGTATTTATTACGAGATGACGAATACATAGCCAACCCTTTGCCCAAATTCTGCAGTCATTTTGGTTTAAAAAACTTAAGAAAATAAATTTTCTAATAATTTACTGTATTTAGAAAAGATGTCATATATTATGACCCATTTTTTGTATACCAAAAGCGATAACAAAGTGTGTGAGTGAGGAACCGGTGTCACACCCCCTCCCCCTTTGCCACTAATTCATTCAATTAAAGGCATTTGATGCGATTTGATTTGATTAGGCATTGGAAATGTTGGCAAAATGTATTATTTATACACATGTAATGCATTCAAAGCCATACAATTGTAATGCTTTTTAGTGACATATCTTCAATTGTTTGCAATATTTATCA